TGTACATTGATCTGCATGAGTGGCATTTTTGCTCTCAACAACAGAGTAGATGAAGTACTCGAAGTGATCAACCATTTCCGAGTGGTAGCAGCCTATCCAATGGCCCATTTATCGATCCATCCATCCAGCAGTCCATCGGTCCACCATACATTTTACATACATACATACATACATACATACATACATACATACATACATTGTTTCTTTCCTTCATTCCTCTTTGTTGAGAAATGGAAATGCAGGCCAATATAAAGACAAGAGCTGTCATCAATGCGTTTTTGTAGCAGATTACATTGAATGAAGTATTGAAATTCGTTTATAGTTTGATGGAGCTTTTAAATTGAGAAATTAAACGTCTTGGGCAGGAGGAAGGAGATATGGTATGAAACGAATAAAATTCGAAAAAAATCATTTTACAAGCAACGATCTTCATCAGTTATAGAAAGGATAACTTCGTAAGATGTAAACGATCTACTAGCTAATGATTACATTCGGATATAGATTGTAGTAGCAAGTGGAGGAAGCTAGACTGATACTAAAGGCGAAAATGAATATCGTTATTGAGGTTTGTTCGAAAGAGTAGTAGTAGTACCTACAGTTAGTAGTAGTAGTAGTAGTAGTAGTAGTAGTAGTAGTAGTAGTAGTAGTAGTAGTAGTAGTAGTAGTAGTAGTAGTAGTAGTAGTACAGTTGTACCTACTCCTTTCACGAATCCGCACTGATTCGGTGACAACTCTATGATATCTCGAAGGCGTGTTTCGATTACTCTCTCGAAGATTTTTAGATCATCAGTCGGATTGGTCGGTAAGATGCGCAGTCTGCTATGTCTTCTTTGTTCTTCCATACCGGTATGGTCGTGCTGGTGTACCAGTCGCGAGGCATACTCTTGCTCCTTATGATTTGATTGAGGGGACTCGTTAGCCATGTGGCTCCGGATTGTCCACATATTTTCCAGAACTCGCTTGGTATGTCGTCTGGACCAGTCGTTTTGCCATTCTTTGTTCTTCTTATGGCCAGCCATACTTCCTCTTCCGTGACTGCTGGTACTGGTCCCTCTATGGGGCTGGCTTCTGGGATGGAGTTGATGGTGCGGCCTGTGGTGGCCATTTCTTCGAAATAGGCTCTCCATCGTTCGGTAATGTCCTCTAGTTTTCTTAGCGTCCTATCAAGTTCGTCTTTGATATGGAGGAAGTGTTCCATATCTTTCGTGGACTCCGCTCTCTTCTCGCTATCCGGTATATCTCACGTTCTCCCTCGCGAGATTCTAGTTGATCGTAGAGCTGTTTCATGTATACCTGTTTGCCAATCAACATTTTTTTGGCCATATGTACTGACAGCCTTAAACTACCGATTAATATATTAGGTTGTGTAATAAGTTCTGCCCCTTTTCTTTCGATTTTTCTCAATATTTTGCGCGATGTTCTGCAAACTGTTTTCATGCATTTGAAAGCTCAAGCCTTCTCTACTAAAACTTTCATCTTGGTTTTCTACATCAGATGACTTGAAAAAGTTTTACAGCGTCAAATTTGGAAAATCAAACAGGAAAAAAGTCCATTTTTGACAACTACGTTACGTCGCCCTCCCAATAGGTCAGAATGCTTAGGAATAGGCTCGAAAAATTTGCTACACGAAGCGAAGATTGCTCTAGCTTCTATTACGCTTTAAAAGTGCTGAAACTTTTCAAAAATCATTTTTAGACTTTAGAATAGTTCTTCTTTCAACGCCTTTTCCGTTGGTGTTGGGCATCATCTGAAGGCATATTGAAGAAAGACGGTAGGCGGATCATCCAGAAGAGACAGAAGGGATAGTTGGCTTCAAAACTATCGAATTCGTGGGTTAGATACTCAAAATTAGAATTTTGGGAGCCACACAGGCTGGGTACGCGAGACGGCGAACTTCGCCTAGCAAAGTCTTGCTTTGCCGACTTTTGAAAAAATGTCATTGAATAGCCGGTGGAAGGAAGGTAACACGCGTAAACAGTTTTAGAATAAGTGTAAAAGTCTAGTAGATTGTTTTGGTTGTTGTCAAGCTTGTTTAATAAGTTTTACCAGTAAAAATTGAGAAAAATTTGGAGAAAAAAAGATGTCGAAAATCGATTTTTCGGCTCTTTGGATTCTTTGTTTCACTGATGAAAATCTTTTCCAATTTCCTGCTATGTTGAGGAATGATGCATATGAGTCTGCAGAGCAGACTTAGAGCTTCAAAAGCTCATACACTTTATCGGAAATATAGTCAATGTTACCAAGGAAGAACCAAAACAAAAAATGGAACAGAACTTATTACACGACCTAATATATGTTCTTCTTCAAGAATCGCGCTGGCTGCGTTTCGAAGCAAGTGAAAAGTTTGAGTTCTGAGCGCTGAAGTTAGTGAGCTTATTGCTGCCTGAAGGAAAGGCCTAGGTACCGACGCAAGTAATAGTTGGATGTCGCCTCATCTGGCCAATGCGAAGGGGATAGAACAATTTTTGAGTCAAGCTCCTGCAAGTTCTGCGCGTTTTTAAACCGGAAATGCTTTTCGTAGACCTAACTCAACGGTTTTCTTTTTTGGGATACTTTCCCAGGTTTGTGTATATTTCTCAAGCGAAATAGCTACTAAAAGCATATTTCGAACCAGCCTGCATTCCCATTTAATTTTGTTAATTAGAAGAAGGATTGGCCAAATTTTCTTTACAACCTAATAAAGCCCTATTGGACTTTTCTTCTCGGGACATCCTAAGGCGTCAGTAAGCGGAGCCAACTTGCCGCCTCTAGCTTCTGAAGCAGTTTTCTCGCTTTGAACACTTTTGCAGCGCGACTTCGGCGAATACTCAGCGGGCCCCGTTGCTATACAACGCCAGAAATCACCGATTCCAATTTTAGTGGAAGGACAATCAACCTTTCTTTTCTGTTCATTCGCAGAGGGGTGATAATAGACGTTCTCGGCTATAGAATTTATGACTGAGACAATACAGTAAATGTTATTAGAAATGTGTGAACGAAGAAATCATAAAATTGATATGCGCATGCTAAACAGCACATTCCCTTTTACTACTACTCGTGTTTAGAGTCCTGCAAATGATAATTTAACTTCTTGAATTATATTGTTTACACAGCAACATGTCAGCTTTATTCTAGGAACTATTCCACTCAGCAATTTGCTCTCAATGGTCAGGGAACATTTTCCTTCGATTATCGTAAATTTTATCTACCATAGCACAACCCAAACAGCGTTCAAGGGATAACCAAAGTTCGTGGGTGATTAGTCGTTATATTCACGGCAGGGGTGGGGGGGGGGGGGTCATTGCTGTGGACGAGAGCAAGCTATCCAAATCAAGCTTAGCAAATCACAAAACGATTGGCTCGAGGCCATTCGTCAATTGTGTTCTCATCACTTGTTGGTCTTCTGGAAATTATTTTACCTTCTAAAAAGTCTCCTGCTCAATTCCCCTTGCTGCAGTCACCTCGCTAGCGTGTAGCAGAAGATGGTTGGTGATGCTAAAGAATCATGGCTCATCTTTCTGCCAAAGTGTTATGACTAACATCTCATCACATACGAGTCTTCTCTAAATGCGCATTTAGAGAATCAAGTCGTCTTTTGCGGAAAAAAATAATAAGTAGCTAGAGAGATCGTAACTGTGAGTTTGTTTTGGATTATGTTTGGTTGTCCTTGAATTGTAAGTAATAAATGCGATTGTATTTTTGCAAAAGTGGATTCCTTTTTCTCTTAATACTCATGCAAGTTATTGAAATGTGAAAATAAATACATAATCAAGTTATGCAACTTTAACTTTGTACTTTCATAGGAAACATTTTCCGTGGTAACATTCCCACGTAAGATCAGTGCTCGTGCTTTTTCCCGTCGCTTCATAGCTTTCTGCATTAGATTTTCATCTGCCTGATTCTCCACTTATATTTCATCACACCAATCTATGAGTTAGATCATATGTGCGTATCTTCATGACTTGTTTTTTTATATCTCGACCCAGTTTGAACGGAATGACAGTCTTGCATAGCATTACTCATAGCATTTTTTAAAAGCTTCTAGAAAAGTAAAAAATTGAAAATGAGTCAGACGTAACAAACTCCTTATAAAGCGAAGCTCTTAGACATACTACGCTATCGTGCAACTTTAGAACGTTCATATCCTTTAATGTCCTTGTCCTTGTCATTCTTTATTAGTCTGCTCTGGTCATTTTGCCACTTCATTTACACATTTACCTCGACACTCAAAGAACCGAAATGAAAACGTCTTTGTTTTCATTAAGCTGTACAAGTCTTTCCTAATTGAATTTTTACTGCAATTTTAGAATCTTAGGTTTCCACAAGCTCTTTTCCAAGCAGTATCAAATTATAATAGCTTTTCTCGCTTAGGTGTCTCACGTTAAAATCAACATTTCTCGGGAACTAGAGCTTTTAGAGGCTAAAGATTTACTGTACTCATACAGGTCAGTAACAGTAACTCATGCTGGAACAACAAAACATTTGGTGACAGCATAGAAATTATTGTTTTCTTAGACAAGAAGAAAGTACAGCAACGGTATATATCCTTGAGGTTGATCAGAGAGGTGCAAAAATATAAAAGCTATTTTATAAAGCTCGCTTTGCTCTATTGAACGGTCCTGATGCCAATTTGATATGAAAAGTGTATGACTTACTGCGGAAAATCGAAATGTAGAGAGTTAAGGGACAACCTAAACTCAAAGATGCTTTTCCCTAAATATGCATATCCTTATTTCCATGCGTACAATCCCTTCCCGCACTCTTTCTCCTGAAAAGATCACTTATACTCCATTTCTGTCTGTGTGCGTCTGTTTGGCGCGTTCATATTTACCTTGAAAATACCTCACAAAATGTCAGGTCCCCTTTCATACATTTACCTCCATTCTTGTGCTCATTTCAATTTTTTGAATGCTCTATATCTACGCTTTTCACAACAAGTGATTTACTATTGTTCCTGCGAATCTGACTGAACTGAACTACTGTTCGCTAAGAGTAAAGGCATACTTACAAGTGCATTTCAGAATCTTGACTACCAGTGCGCTGGCGCTGAAATGGGACATTTTCTGCCTGGAAAAAAGGTCGGTTTTAGTGCACGAAGTTGATTTTAGCCCATTACCGATATGTTATATAACAATCTGATGCCTTATTACAAGACCTGTGCTCAGTTTGATCAAACTGTACATGAGGAACCTTATATGCTAATACTTTGATGGAAGATAAACTCCAAAAATGTATATGATTGGATAACCTTATCGAAAATCTCCTATAGCCTGCCATAGACTACCAATGAGACCTGTCTAAGCCTATTTCAGTAAGCGTGTGTAAAATAACCTATTCAGCAACAGCTTACTGATATAACTGCTTTATGACCAGCTTCTTTGTAAAAATAGCTGTATGTTTACCTGGTGATATGCAGTTTATCCCATTAATTTGTCAACATACGTACTTTTGACTTTCGTTTCAAGCTTTTGATATTTTTGGTAGAAAAAACTGCATAATTTCTTCTCTGAGCATCTATGTTTTGGGAATATGATACTGTATGAAAGCTTATATGATTTTTTTCTCTTTGCTGACGTTTCGGTTTGACCTTTAAGAAGTCGTAAGGGTTGCAAATGAGCAGAGAAGGCAAAACTGCATTCTTTTTTTTCTAAAAAGCAATGCGATCTGTGCGCATCTATTTTCTCTCCTTTAACCGCATAGGCCGCAGCTTTCAAGGTCCGTTGTTTCGAACTAAATCAGAAAATTACCAACAAAGATGAAACGCACAAGCTTTTTTAAAATATCACCTACAAACTTTCTTGCTTTTAGTGATTACATAGTTGATATCTCTATCACGAATAATATAATACATTGTTTCAACATTCAATCTAACCTTTGCTTCTTTGAGGTCATTTACCCCATCACTATTTGCTTAAAGGCTTTGTTGGATCATTTTATTTCTAATTTTTCCGTACTTATGCTTTTTTCGAGTGCAGTGCTTCAGGGCATTCTAGTGGAGGATGGGATTACGGACACACCCGCGAATGGGAGAAAACGATATTTTACCTGCTGCTGTAGTTTTAGTGAGATTATTATGTTACTCTGGCTCCATCCGCTCTGTTTTAGAACTTCTATTTCGTTTTAGCCCGTATATGCAAAATATGTAAATTTGCGCTAGAAGAGTGGATATATTTGGCTTTGCTTGGTATAATCATGGCTATAATTACATTAGGAATGGATGTAGCTATTGCCAAATTGCAGGAAGGTAAGTGACGAGCTTACCAAGTTTCAAACGTCAAACGTTTCACGAAAACCCATGAATTCTAATTTGTATATGAATGAAAATTCGAGAAAGTTCTCAAGACACAAATGTACGTCATTTTACTGCGTACTTTTGTCTAAGTTGTTCAGCCAATAAGTATTTGATGTGTCAAAGAGCAATGTGTGTCACTGATGTGAGAAAATTCAATATTTAAGACGGAAGAAATAGATATCGGTTTGAAATGTATCAGATAAGCTAAAAAAGTTTCGTTTGTTTTCAGGACATTTCGCACTTTACCGGCTTCTTCAAAACCACCAATCATGGCTGGCCCCCTTTACAGTATGGGCCTTCTACACTGTAGTCGTTGTATTTGCGTCAGCGTTGTGGGCTCATTTTATCGCTCCACAAGCCATAGGTAATCAAAATTTCAAAAAATCATTTGAACATTCCCCACCAAGATTATTCTAGGATCTGGAATCCCAGAAATGAAAACTGTGCTTCGTGGAATTATTCTAAAAGAATATCTGACCGTTCGTACACTTATATCGAAGATTGTTGCCTTGTCCTTATCTATAGGAAGTGGCCTGCCAGTTGGAAAAGAAGTGAATTGGTTTAGTTTCTTCAAGAGACCACAGAAGCATAAAAACTTTCAGGGTCCTTTTGTACATATTGCATCTATAATAGCAAATCAACTGAGCCGTTTTGTGCATGGTTCAACCGCTATTTACGAGAATGAGTCGCGAGCAAGCGAGTTGCTGGCGGCTGGTTGTGCTGTTGGTGTAGCTTGCACTTTTAGTGCACCTGTCGGAGGTATTCGCTCCTTTCACTGTTTCCGACAATATGGCAAGTGTACACAAGAATTAAGGAGTACTGTTCTCAATTGAAGTTACTGCTGTATACTTTGCCGTTCGAAACTACTGGAGAGGTTTTTTCGCTGCTACTTGTAGCGCAACATTATTCAGCGTACTGCAAAACTTGAGAAGGGGAACTTCGTTGACAGTCAGCAACTGGAGTGAGTTTTCTATCCACATCCGCATCTGCATAGGGTGATTGACATCCTCGTAGAGCCAAATAAATTTGGCGGAAATATAATAAATAATTAGATCAAATGAGACGCATTATAGACCATTTTCTATTTCATTTAAAACACGTACGTTATCCAAATGTTTTTATGATTTAGATTTGTATTGAACACATCGATAAAACTAGTTTAGCAAATTGTAGCCTGTTGGAAGGAGGGCAGATGAGAAAAGCACGCGGACTCGTTCAGAACGTAAATTGTAAAGAACTCACTCAATTTTGTTGTTTGCGATGCGATGCTAGCCGGAGTGCCAAGAGCACGTCTGCAGCGATATCAGTTACCAAATTTCGCATGCAAATCTCTCCTTGCTGGCGCACTCAATTTTTATAAGCCTGTTTTAGGCGGCTATAAATCCGCCTAAAACAGGCTTGTGCTTTGTCTAACTTTGCAATCATTGACAATTATTGATGTGGTTACGCTTTGGCAAGCGCGTGGGAGGCTCTTGCATAAGGGTTTCCAAACAAAGGAGAGCAGTAGATTGTCATCTAAATTATGCGAACTTTGCCTTTTTTCGGACTTGGAGCATTGCAGCAGACGATAGCGGTCTCGAAAATAGTCTCCTCTCTAGATCTTTGAAGGTGTAAAGGCGATTTGCGTGCGAACCATTTTGATTGGTACTGATATTATGTTTCTGCAGTGCAGATGAGACGAAAAAATGAGGATCGGTCGCGGCGGTTAACATGAAGGGAAGGATGAAAGATTATGAAATCAAAGACAGTCTCACCAGGTTTTTGTGCCGGATTTTTCACGGGTGCCAATGCCCAAATCATTCGGTAAGGCTTTTTCCTACGTCGAAAAGAAGGCTCTCAAAGTGGCCCGGTGAAAGCCTGAGTAGGGGTGCACAGCTCGTCCGCGGTGCTTCTACGCTATTTTCCAACAACGGATTTTATGTGATTTTCACGAGGATTTGAGCCCGTGTAGGATTATGCAACGTCGACATAGCTTGGGGCGTGCAAAAATCCTGAGCCTAAATTCAAGTGGGACATTGTTTTTGAACTATCACATCTGCAAATGCTGAAATCCAAAGGATCGCAAGACAGTACCACAGCTAGCGAAGCAGTGCCAAAAGCATTCTCAGCGTACAGAAAGTGCAGAAAGTTGGAATAAAAATAATGGCAAATTATAGACGGTACTGCTTCCCTCACCACAGCTCTAATTTTCGAAGTAACCACAACATGCCTATGCTGTAAGGCTTTGGAATTAGATCCTGCTCGAAAAAACCAAATTTTATGAAAATTTTCATGAATAAAATATGAGGAATTTTTTTTTCCATTTTATTAAGTAGTAATTTTCATTTTATTAGGTAGTAACACAAGTCTTGTCACACTCTAACTTCTTACGGCGATAAGCGTACACTTCATATTTTTAATAGCTTCAGGGCACCTTTCGATAGAGTAAAGCAAGCTCTACAAGATGGTGTGCAAAAGTTCACACAAACTTCGACCCACTGTAAGTTTGCATCCAAAGAGTCGTACTGAAAGCTCTGAAGATTCTTCTTTCAAAAAATCTTACGAATCCCCAACTTGCTTAAAAAAATCGCACACTACGCCAGACACTCATGTGTACTACTTCAGTTCTTTTTTTTTTCATCTAGAAAATGAGGAAACGGATATTATGTTTATACAAGAAAGAAACATGCTGATTCCATTCATGTGATCTTATATATATATAGTTGAATGTCTGTTTGTCTGTATGTATGTATGTATGTATGTATGTACGTGTGTACGTATGTTCCGAATAGAAAATTCCATTTCTGAACCGATCCGGACCAAACTTGGCACACATACACTTCAGGCCCCGGCGGGTGTCATAGGCTACTTTTCGTCATCGATCGATATCGATTTTATCGATTTTTTGCAAAATTTGAGCTGCGGAGCTGGGAGTTGGCACAGGGGGGGGGGGTAATCGATGCTGTCTACGAATATAATAATGACAGGGCCGGGCGGAGCCGGGTAAGTCAACTAGTTGTCTATAATCTCTTAGAAGTATAACCGTGAATTTTCAGCTTTCTATGAGCCCTAGTTTTCGAGAATTATTGATTTTAGCATGGAACACCTGAGTGAAGACAGCTAAATTCGATAATTCGGTAAACTAGGGCTTGTGGAGAACGCAAAATCTACGGTTATACTCCCAAGGGCTTATAGTATACACACATGAGTGGAAACAACATAGCTTCGTTTTTGTAAGAACATAAAATTTCGTTTTCTCGACATAGGGGAGGAATATGTACAGGAAGGGTACATATGAGTGTTCAATGTAGTGTGCAATGTGAGCAAGTTATTTGTAATTTTTTTTGAACGAAGGATATGGATTTTTCGTACGACACAGATTTTGGGTGCAAATTATAGTGGATCGAAGTTGGTGTGAACTCTTGCACACCTCCTTCTAAAGCTTGCTTTGCCTTGTCGAAGTGTCCCTGGATTCCCATTGAAGATGCGAGCTCATGAATTATCGCCGTAGGAAGTTAGAGTGTAACAAGATTTATGTTACTACCTAAACCACGTTGACTGCGCATTATTTGAGATGCACTAATATGGTTTGTTTAAAGCTCGTAGGCACCACAGTCATTACAGCGCACTTGCCTAGAAAAAGCACTTCAGTTAATTTCAAAACAGTTCGAACATTATTTTGTGCTAATTTCGTAAATTTGTTGATGCTTGTCTATATGTCTATTTCAGTCTCAATTTCTGTGGCCGCTCATTATCAGACGACATTTCCAATAGTTAATACATTTACGTCAACGGAGTTGCTTTTTTTCGCAGCACTTGGGTACGTCACATTGTAGCTACTCTAATTATTTGTTCCAAATATGGCAACTGTTTTTAGTAATTGCAAAGTCTGAAGGGTATGTTTTGTAGTGAATCGTAAGCATACCTTTGTTAATATGGTTGTGAATCGTGCTTGTGTTGCATCCTGTTCCTTGTTTAGTAATTTCAAGCTTTTACTCATTTCTTCAATTTCAAGGTTGTTATGCGGGTTGGCAGGTGCAATCTTTGTTCTTTTTCATCGAACATTCGTCCTTTTCCTAAGGAGGAATAAAATTATCAAAGCCGTACTACAAAAATAGTAAGCACTTTTTTGACACCATCTGAAAAAACATCGAGAGAAGAAAAACCTGTTTAGCTGGCTGATTTATCCAATACTGATTGCGTTTCTTATCGGAGCATGCACTTATCCAATGGGAGCCGGGATGTATCTGGGCGGTGAGGTAAGTACGCAAAGTTCTAAATGTGGATAGCTAAGTGAGCAGTCTAATCAAGCTTTCAGATCTATGGTAATCAAAAAGTAATCGTGTCCTCAAAATTTTGTGCAATCTAAGCTGCGAAATAGATCAGATGTCAACGGAAATAGACCTACTGTAATTTTTTTTGAGAAATCGAGGTTTTTGGAGCATCGTCTGACCTCTACATTTTTTGGTTGCATTACACACACCTTTTGCAAGGCTGTGGCAAAATTTCAATCTGATTTTGAGTTTGGCTACCTGACTTGCGCAGATTCCGCGAATGTGCTGAGCTTTTCAAGAGTGTTATTGTCGACTTGTCATTACGAGAAGGTACTTACTAGCATTATGAATAGGAAATATGAAAATGGTGCAACCTTTTTGCCAAAATTATTGCGTAACCTATGGATAACAGCGTAAGGACTGTTTACAGGGGTGTTTCAGCAAAAACACAGGAAAAGCAAGTATAGGTTGCAGGTGCACATTATAGAGAATGCAAGGTCGCTTTAATCATGGTAGAGGAGTTGTGCATAAATCTTTGGATCTCTTGGTCTGCTTGGTCGTCCAATGTTTCTAATAACAAAGCACGTCTATTCTGAGCGTCAATTGATGCTACGAAGCACTTGTGCATGCGTTCTCACAAGCTTGCTCCTTTGCTTATCTATTGTTATAGAAGGATGCAAGGTTTTGACAAGATGCCATCAACTTTTTGCTGCTGAATGTTCTCAGAAGATAACAAAACTTTGTAATAACTGTTCTGATGCTAAAAAAAATTTTGGCATCAACTTGTAACCTAAGTTGCATATGGCAGAAAACTTTAAAGCGAATTTCCCGCTTTTTGGAAAATCGATTTTCTGATCGAATTCGTGGTTTCATTAAGCGGAATAATGAGGGTATCCATCTCGATGATCCTGGAATTATTAGGTCATTCGGAAAGTTTTTAGCTTTTGCACACAAAAATTTGAACAATCACTTTATTCAGAACCAACCTTTTCATTCATAAGCACCATTTTGTTCAACACATCTTTGTCAACGTCTCACAAGTGGCTTATTCCTTTTTGAAGAAAGCGTATCCAGAGAGCAGACAAATCTTCGAAAAGCCGTTTCAACATCCTTCTCTTCATTGAATCGCTGTCCTTTCAGGAAAGACTCAAGGGATCTAAAGAAGTGGTAATCCGTAGGCGAAAGATCCGGGGAGTAAGGCGGATGAGGTGGAATTTCAACACCCAGCTGCTGTAGTTTTTGTGGGTCACTTTCGCCACATGTGGTTTTGCGTTATCGTGGAGAAGGATAACTCCTTTCCGATCTACCAGCGCGGGTCGCTCAACCTGCAGCTTTTGATGTACCCTCTCCAGATCCCTACTGTACGAGTCCGCTGTTACCGTGCAGCCAAGTTTCAGGAAGCTGTAGTGCAATAGGCCTGCGCTATTCCACCGAACTGAGATCATAACCTTCTTAGAGTGTTTGTCTGCTTTTGGCCATGTTCTTGGTGGCTCATTCGCATTCAAGCACTGTGAAGATCTCTTCCTGTTGTCATACACGATCCATTTTTCGTCACAAGTGACGATTTTATCCAGAAAAGGATCGTCTTCATTACGTTGAATCAGAAAAGAGCAGACCTCGCGGCGCACTCTCATTTGCTACTCTGTCAGCTCGTGAGGGATCCGTTTGTCGAGTTTTTGAACTTTGCCATTTTGACGGAGGTGGCTCCAAACGGTGCTAGCAGATACCCTCAGGCCTGCTGATAATCTAGCGCAACTAGGCCGAGGGTCTTCATCAGTGGCGCCCAGTAGCTGATCGCTTATAGTGCAGGATGGACGTCCGCATCGAGGCTTCTCATCAACGGTCAGCTCTCCACAGTTGAAGCGGCTAAACCAAATTTGCACTGTTTTTGGAGTAGATGCAACTTCGACAAATGCAGTGCGCATAATGCCTGCTGCGGTGACTCCTTATGTCCAAGTTTGAACTATAGAGCGCGATGAGTCGAAAATCTTGCCTTTCCATGCCTTCTTTGACTGAGTGGAAACTCCGACAGACGGCGGTTGATGAAGAGTACCGGGTATCGACAAAAAGTAGAGATCATACCCTAGTTAATGATATGCGTATCACTTCTGACACTTTGACCAAGTTTAGAAAATGTGGCGAAAACTTTGAATGCTCAAAAAGCGAAAAAAATTTCCGAATGACCTAATAGATCAAGTGCTGTCTTCACGGCTCATCTGACTAGCTGAAAAATGACAGTTGTTTTGCATGATGGAATTCCAAGAGAATTACTATAGAAAGGCTGGCTATGACTGCACATACTTTCTCAATTTTTGCTATCCTCACTATGGAACAACTATTTCCCCTCAGGCTGCGTTCATACTGATCCCGAAGTCCGGGAACTGTTCCAGCAGCGCTCAACTTGAGCACTGTGCTGGAACTGTTCCCGGACTTCGGGATCAGTATTAACGCAACCTTAATGAAATTCATTGAGAAATTTCCGAGCTGTGCCTTGTACCCGCTTTTTGCAAGGGAGTTTTCTGCTTCTCCTCTTCATTCCATCCGTGCTCACTCTATCTTTCGCGGTACGCCTCCAACTGACTGTGGGGTCGCCCAAGCGGCATTTCGCAAGGCGTAGGTTGGAAAGTGTAGATTTAGAGAAGATAGAGATATAATGTGATTGTCTTTAAAAGGTGGGTCTAACAATTCTTTTATCTGCTCTCTCATCACTTCTACTTTCATTTTCAATCCACACAGTGCATTTAAGTCCATAACTTTCTAGAATACTTCTTACATCGTCTGAGTTCAAGCAATGTGATGATCTAATATCAGCTTTAAACGATTTAATGACTTATCCATAGCTGAGAGCGTCGCTGCAGAATTTAGCTGTCAATTTCGCATTGGTTTAGTCACTTCTTCTCTTTCAGCAAGCATTCGCCCGAACCTTGAATGATTTCTTTATCTCATGTTCATGGTTGGATGAGACAAACAATCCGTACGGTTGCGGTTCTGGACAAAATTTCACTCGTGCTAACTGGGCAGGTCCTAAAAATGACATCAACATATTTCACTCACTTCTTGCTTTCCAAACTGTGTATGTGAGTTATTGGTGTGTGATGGTCTGTTTGCTTGAATTATGGAAATGCTTCTAGTGTTGCAGTTCTTCCTTTCAATCGTAGCCTCAACGTTACCCATTCCTGCTGGCATTTTTATGCCTGTCTTTGTAATTGGAGCCTCAATTGGACGCACAGCTGGTTGGTGCACAAAACAAGTTTTTCCGTTAACAAAAATGCTTTTTAGGTGAGTTTTTGCGGTTGCTCTATCCCGATGGAGTGATCTACGGAGTGTTGAGTACTCGCATAAATCCTGGCATGTATGCTGTCGCTGGTAAGTCATCACTTATTGTTCGGCACTAAGGTGATAGAGGATCTTACCCTTTAGAGACTGTTCTGGAACGCTTTGAGCCGTTGACGATTTATTAGAAAAACACAAGAGTTCCCCCTCTGCCTATCGGTAACTCCATAACAACACACAAATATATCAAGGCGCGGCGGGTACGCCGCAACCACAGAGATCATATCCACCTAGCCTATAGTGAGCGAGCAAGTTCCAATATAAGGGACGGCTCTACAACACCTCCCTCCTAAGATGAACAACGGTACATCTTACAATGAGGATCTACTTGTAGACGTTCTGGTGGGCGAGATGGCGATTTGGTCTGGTTGATGTCGGTGGCGTAGACGGAGTGGCTTGGTGTTCAGCAGCATCCATGTTGTGGACTGTGTTGAGTCATGATGTCGATCCATACTTGCTGCGCGGCGCATCTGGTTCGCATGTCGTCTCCATAACTGACCGTCTTCCGTAAGCACGCCATATAGTGCCTCTCCATATCGTTTCTTCACACGTGCTGGAATCCATTTTTCACATCCAGAGCGAAAATCACGTACCCACACGGCTTCTTGTGGCTGGTACGATTTCTTTCGTGCTCCGTGACGGTGGTTGAACTGCTTCTTCATAGATATATTGCCCATTCCTTCTTCTTTGGAGTCTTCATTCAATAGCGACAGCGGTGTCCTTATGTGACGTCCCAAAAGCAGCTCGACAGGCGAACGTTGTCCTGGAGCAGTTGTACAAGGCGTCCGTCGATAAGACTGCAGAAACTCCGCGAGATTCTCTGCCGTTCCTTCCTCCTTAACTTTGTGGAAGGTTCTCTTGAAGATATCCACAAACCTCTCCGCTTGTCCATTCGATTGTGAATGGAATGGTAGTGAACGCATATGCTTGATTCCTCGCTCTTCACAAAAGTCTTGGAACTCCTTTGCTGTAAACTGCGTCCCATTATCCGACACGATCACTCGCGGATTTCCAAATCGTGCGAATAGAGATCTGAGTTCTCTCAGAGTAGCTGTAGTTGACGATGAAGGCATCTCAAAAACTTCTGGCCATTTCGAGTAAGCGTCAACTACGACGAGATACATCTTTCCATTCAGCGGCCCTGCATAGTCAATGTGAAGTCAATTCCATGGTTTATCTTCCACTTTCCATGAATGCAGCAACGTCTTCACTGGCATTTTGGAGGCTTCCTGACAATTCCTACAGCGGCGCACTGAATCTCCAACTTCTCTGTTGATGCCCATCCAATATGCGAATGCTCTTGCGGGCATCTTCATCCTTGTCATTCCAGGGTGTCCATCATGTAACTGCTTCAGAACCGCTTGTCTCAGCGAGGCTGGAATGACTATTCTGTGGGCGAAATACAAACATCCGTTCTGCACTGATAAATTCTCCCTCAGTGCTCTCCAATTTTGGACTTTTTCTTTAGGTTTGGACGGCCATGCTCCCGATTGCAGCATTCGTATAACTTGCGCAATTGTTTCGTCCTTGCGAGATTCTTCTTCTATCTTTCTTCGGGCTACTGGTAACGCTCGTACAGCAGCAGCTTGGACGGCTCGCACATCTTCTTCTTTGCTAGTCACCTTTCTGCAGTTGTACTCGGTCAATCTCTTGTAGGCTGGTAACTGGATGCACCATTCCATCCCAGATTTGAGTTTTCCGTGACGTAGCAAGTTTCATGTCCATAGACGGTTTTCCCTGTGATGCGATCCTTAATCTTGAAATCGGTCGAAAATTTACCGTATATCTTCATCGATGTCCCGCCTGCAGTTTCCACGGGCATCACACAGGGTTCCAGAGCCGGGGATCCCATTCTCTCCCAGGCTCTGCGTGATATCAGCGTTATATCTCCACCTTGTCCAGCTGGAGCTTGAGATTACATCCTCTAACTACGACATCGAGGTAGGTCGAGCTCTCGGCGTCGAAAGCGACCACATTCTTGCACTGTCCTTTGCGACTAGAGTGTTTTGCACCTGTCCTCCGTCGCTTCTTCCGACCAGCGCTGCCAGATTGAGGGCACTCTCTTCTGAAATGTGGTCCTCCGCAGATGAAGCAATTTACCTTCTTCATCCAGACAGCATGAATGTCGCGCGTTCCTTCCATGTCTGTGTTATCCATTTTCAAAACAGTGAACTTCTCACAATCCGTGACTAGGTCCTTGATTGTCAACGGTGCTTCGTCCGTGTGAGCGTCCAGTCGACGAATCATCCGAAGGCGGACTTCCCTAAGTGAGGGATCTTGAAGACCTGCTACGGACTGCAGCGTCTTCATCGCCGTGTAGTCCACCTCCTTAAGCCGGGCATCCTCGTCCATCCGCTTGATAGTGTTGGCGTAGTCGCGGAACGGTACGCACGCTGGCGTAAGCGGAGGGCACGTTATCCTTAGGCACTCATACCGTCTCCTTGTGAGCGTCTTTTTGGAGGCGAACAGCTTCTGGAGGTTCGCGACGGTGTTATCGAAGTCCAAGTCGTTTGATTGCGCAGGCAGGACCTCATCTGCATACTTCCGGTATGCTTCTTCATCCAGCTTCATTAAGATCAAGTCGCGCTTCTTCTGATCCGAAAGCTGGGAGTCGCGAATGACCGTCCATACCTGCCATACCAGTAAGCAAATGTGTTACCAGCTTCTTCGTCTGAGGTAAATCTCTGCACGTCCTTGCTCAGCTGATCGTACTGATCCTTACTGGCGTCCTGGACGGCTATCCTTTGGTTACTGGCCAAAGCAGTGACCAGCGTCTTCATCTGCTCCTGTTGTGCTTGCAATTGCACCTGCATTTGCTCCTGTAGAGCTTGCGATTGCATTTGCATCTGCTCCTGCTGAGCTTGCCATTGTGCTTGCATGTGCTCCTGTTGAGCTTGTATTCGGGCCTGCATCTGTTCCCGTTGAAGCTGCATATGCAGCTTCATCTCCTTCTGTTGGAGCCGCATCTGGTCGACTATGACCGACAGGACCTTCTCCAGAAATTCGCCATGCCGCTCTTCACTGGCTTTCGGCATGGTAGACCTCTCTGGTGTCGACGAAGTCTTCTGCTAAATCGATAAGCTTCTCAGCAAAGCTTACTTGTCTGGCTGTCCTCGACTGACAGCTTCTTCCTCGATTCGAGCTGCAGCGTTTCTTCTCCTTGGACGATGAGGGCTTCCGGTCCTTGTCGATCAAGCTTCTTCTGGTCCTTGTCGATCGAGCTTCTTCTGGTCCTTGTCGGTCGAGCTTCTTCTAGTCCTTGGTCGGTGGAGGCTTCTTGTCCTTGTTCCTGATCGCCGGTTGTTGTGGAACGCGTTGAGCCGTTGACGATACATTAGAAAAACACAAGAGTTCCCCCTCTGCCTATCGGCGTACATGCCGAGGGTTCACTTGGAATAACTCCATAACAACACACAACTATACCAAGGCGCGGCGGGTAGGCCGCAACCACAGAGACCATATCGACCTAGCCTACAGTGAGCGAGCAAGTTCCAATATAAGGGACGGCTCTACAACAGAGACTTTCACTGAAATTTTTTGCTGATCGAAAATAGAATTTTTACCAACAATCTAACAAATTAAGACTCGGCAATTTGCACATTAGCGGTATTGTATCTTCGTGAATCTTCTTGTTGCAAAAGCAAACCAATCCAGTCAATTTTCCTATTGTTCATATAGTCACCACCATTTGGGGAACTATTCGCATCATACTGACAAAAAAGTATATCAATATTTGTCACGTAGATGAACCTTGTCTTAGAGTTCATCTTTTCTGCATTTAAAACCGACTGATATACATCCAGTAACACTTTTGAACTAAAGGTTTTTGTCGCAACGCCATTAAGGCCTACCTTATCCGCTTGATACAGTGGCGAATTTCGAATTTTGTTTTCATAGTGAATGCAGGTCGCTTCCCCTTTTCCATTTGGGTGTATAGTTCTAGGGAACTTTTATCAGTACACCTTTTGCGCAGCTGAGGCGCGTCTCACAGTCGCACCTGTGAAATACAAGGTGATTGTTTTTCTGGAGCTTCTAAAATTTGTTTTCAAACGAGCCTTGTTTTTAGAGCCTTGTTTCTTTTGCTGCTATATAACCTTATTCTGTTAATAGTTAGAGGTTTCCCATCAACATCTGACGGAATTTCAGGAGCAGCTGCTTTTTGCGGGGCTGTCACCCATACCGTTTCTGTAGCTGTGATTGTGTTTGAGTTGACTGGACAGCTTTGTTTGTTGATACCCGTTATGGTAAAAATATAACATAGGTATTAACATTTATGAATGGAAAATTCCTATAGTTTCAGATTGCAGTTTTAATAGCTAATGCAGTGTGCTCTTACCTACAGCCGTCAATTTACGACAGCATCATCAAAATAAAACATCTGCCGTATCTTCCAGAAATATCCCATAGCTCTTCCATGTGAGATCTCAACCTCTTTGTTATTATGAATCCCATTTTGAAACATTGTTCAGGTACCATTCCTTAACAGCTGAACGCTTCATGACTTCTGCGGCATTCGTAGCTAGAGACTCAACTTACGCAGAAGTTCAAGAGCTTATCTACAAAATGAGCCATATACGGGCTTTCCCATTGGTCGAAAATAAAAGCGGGTTGCTTTTAACAATTATGATCCTTCGTATGACGTACAGAAGTTTTGTTATGCCTATAATTTGAAAAATTGTAGAGACAATGTCTCTGGTTGGATCAGTCAGTCGATCCCAACTATACAAGCTTCTCCAAGCAAATGTCGGTGTAAAAGCGCGAAAGGCAGAGGCCGCACACCGCATCAGTCTGGCCATTGCTAAAGTTGGCGAAAGGTATAACCTCATCGGAGATTCTAAACGGAAAGATGGCAATGCAGCTCCAATGGGGCGCAAGCGAGCTTCAAAAAGGTGCGCAGCTGCATATGAGTAAGTGGTGCAGAAATGAACATTGGTCACTCATGTTCATACTTACAGATTCAATGTAGAACCAGTTGTAGATGGCTCAGCACCTTCGACTAAAACCGTGGAGGCATCACTTGCCACTTTGAACAGTTTGCTCACCGTTCCTGCCGGATTACCTGAACTAACATCTAAGGTTCTTCTTCAATTCCCATAAACTAAGGTTGTCCTCAGATTCAAAGGTTTTCAAACAGCAGTAAGTAATGTTGAAGGAGGACGCACATTGTGTTATAGCTTCTTTAATGCATACCGTGTCGCAAGGAAAATTATTGAGCGTCGTGCTGTCGGTTCCTCCCACCAAGAAAATTCTACAGGGTGGCCGAAAAAATGGGCGTCACATTTTCCATTGCAAAATTTTGCATGAAAGACAAGCTCTAATGTGACAAAATTTTGCATTTCAGAAACAGAAAACTTTTAAAGTGTCACTCCTACAAGTTGGGTTTCTGCATACGCACAGACTTCAGCAGCTTATCTCAAAGGCACCATCCATCCAAAAGTGGGTGTATGAGATCATGATGCCTAACAGTAGTGTGGCCCCCAGCTGTATAGTTGCCCAACTTGCGCTGCCAGAAGTTGTTTCAAAAGCGAGAAAATTGCTTCAAAAATCGCTTTGGATGACGCCACGGATTCGCCACGTACTCCTCCCCTTCGAGTGGGCGTGACGTTCGTCCCGCCCATTTGAGCGCGCCTAACCAATCACCGTTCCGCACAACTCGCCCCGCGTGTTCTCTAAAACGGGGTTTCTCGAAATTTTGCGGATTCTTGACTTTATATTCGGAATCAGAGACATTGTAGGAAATTGGTTGCGCCCGCTCAGCCCGCCGTTAATGCGAGCATAAAAGGAGAGTAACCCCGCCTACGGGGGTCTCATGCACTTCCGCCGCCAGCTGTGTGATATTTAAAAACGACTTGAGTTATTGCGAGGACTTTATCCAGTAATGTATGATTATTTCACTTTCTCTCTAGCTACTCCCTTCTCTACAGAACATGAATGATTACTAAAGTTTATCCTTATGACATCACGTTATAAAAATTGAGTATATAGAGGTAAATAGACGGATTGGTATACGACGTGACACAAGCGGTAGATGAGAGTAATACGTAAGAAGATTACAATAGGAGGTAAATAATATTGAGGTTAATAAAAAGGTTACATGAATATAAAGAACACAGAATACATTACAATGATAGAGGAAAATGAGGAAGAGGCGATTAAATGAGTTGCAGTGGTTCCAGCCGAAGCTGGCGGCGGAAGTGCATGAGACCCCGGAGGCGGGGTTACTCTCCTTTTAGACTTGCATTAACGGCGTTCTGAGCGGGCGCAACCAATAGCGCAGTGATGGTAATTTGCGCTTTTCCTACAACATGAAAAAGCCCCGGAACGACAAAAAACACGGAAGCCGAGAATCTGGGCAAGGCTGCGTTTATACTGGTCCCGAGTTCGCGAACAATTCCAGCACAGCGGTCGAAGTTCGAGCGCTGTGCTGAAACTTGCATGTCAGTATGAACGCGCTCTAAACGATGCCTTTGAAGCTAGTGCGTCAAAAAATGCTATGTGAAGAGTGTAGCCGTTGCGAACCCGGAGCGACAGTCCGCTTACGAATCAGATACTTTTTAAGGCATGAGATTTTCTAGAGTACAGTCTGAGTAATTAATCAGGACCATGACAGTAGTAATTTCTCTTCTCCAAAATAGAATACGGCACAATGAACATGGTGCTTTCTAACGGCGTCGCAGCGCTTTTCGAGTGGAAGCAAACTCCGGAGTCTCATCTTTATCAGAAGTTATTAATTCACGCGATATTCATAAATCTTAGTATAGAGAATGTCCATAAGCTAAGGGCATATTAGCCGTTTTGATAGAATGTTTTAGGAAAAAGAAGCATTAGACAATGCAACGCCCATAACCGGCCACCCTGTAGTCAGGGGTAATAGAATAGCCAATATTGCTGTATAGTCCCTGCAGCGGGGTTAGGAATTCACGTAGGACGAGTCATTCCCTTCAAGTAAGATGAATAGGACGCTACACTTTACCATGCAATTAGTTTCCTTTTTTACCAGAAAACGTTGATGTCGCGTCTTCTTGATGGGCTTTGCCTCACACAAGCTCAAGCATTCTTGCAAGCAGCAAAACTTGATTTACAGCTGCCAACGTTGACTATAACACTTGGTAGTGCTGTTGGTTTTTTGACGTCTTGGGCGAATGAAGACGTTAACTGGTCAGCCGAGGTTATAGGATTACATACTCACCCAGAAGAGAAATAATCAAATGCGAGAAAGCGACATCCGTATCTTTTCATAAACCCTCTACTCGCTCGCCGCCAACCATGAAATGCCGTTGCTCAATGACGCGTATTATTTCTCTTGCATGATAATCTCCATATTTTGGAGCTCTTGGAAAGGGGTAAAATTGGCGTCGCGGGGATTGTTGCCGTGTTTGTCTAGGCGCAAAGCATCAGTACTCTTAGCGGGTGATAACGCAGATGAATCGGTTTTGTCCAAATCCAAATTTTACAAATCAAATCCAAATAGCCATACAACCATACACATAGTCACATATAGCCTGACCTTGGTGTTGTAAGAATCTGGAGCATTAGATGAGCTCCAACGTGCAAATTCATATTGTGAGGATATAAGTCCTTTACCAAAATTATTGAAGCATCTGTCATTGCGGGTGAAGTGTAGACAAGAGAACGCCAACGACTTCCATTTGAAAGCAGTGGCTCGGCAAATCTTAACTTATTCAAATTTTATCTTACCGTGGTTGTCCAATGCTCATCCCGAAAATCTACTTAAGAAAGCTTGAAAATGGCGAAAACGACCGTTTTTAGTGTCCATCGCTTTGAGATTGGATGAGTGAGCTAAAGACCCTGAATCTCTGCGGGACCCAATGGTCAAAGTCATCAATCTGTCCACAAACTTGATCAAAACGTCATGACGATGTATTATGACACTGTTAAGCAGGGAATGGTCAGAGAACTTAACCCATTCAAACCATACAAGCTGAATATCATCAAACTCTCCTTGAAACGCTGATCACAAATGTATGTTTATTATCTGCCAAGCAACTATCTGGGCGGAGTTAAGAGCGTTTAAATGCGATTTGTCATGTGTTTTATGGCGCATGTCTCGTGAAATACGTTTCAAAAAGCTTAGGTTTTAAATGTGCTTCTTTCTTGTAATCGAATTAACCATAGCCAGTGTAAATCCGCGCCATATACACTCTTCGAAACTCGAAAAATTTTCCTGTTTGAACGCCGATAGCTCCTCCCAAATAGTCGCGTGGCAAAAAAACATATATTTGAAATCAGCGTTTTGAGAAGAGTCGATGACGCCATGATAAACCCTCAGTACAATTTTACGACAATCTCGTCGAGTTTACGGGATCATAATCGGAAGTGTAAACGTTGGTTGGTTTGTGGGACCCCCATGGGATTACACAAAACACTGAAAATCTCGGCTTTCATACTATGCTGGCATCCATTATAGTCATATTATACTTCATAAAAAACAGAAAAAGAGGGATACAAGTGTCTAAATCGGCGTCATATAGCGCGTATTTACTCTGTCGCCCTTTCCTTCCCCAGCGGGAACGTACATGCATACCCTTAAACGGCGGAATTAATCTGGTCTGCTCCATCTCCAATTGGCAAAATCGCGTTACTTTCGAGCTCGGGTGTGCCAGAGGACAGACCTTGGCTCTACAAGGCAGTACCATATGCCCCGTACTCTACGTCACATTGGTAGTCAATGAGGACCATAGGTGCGACAGGGGGAGCAGGGTATCTTCCAGGTGAAGGGGGTTTTGCCTATTTCCGTCCTAGAAAAGTGAAGGGGGTTATTGAGCCTCAAGATGAATGCTGAAGCAATCATACATGCCTAACGGGAGCGGGGGTGAAAAGAAGGAAAATAAGTAGTACAGAGGTAGAATATGACGACTTTTTCAAGACTTCGTTTTGAAATATTATCGAACAGAAAATTGTTTGATTCAGAGAAGTTTTATGTCCATCAATCGACATACCATTCAAAAGCTTGAAACATTGAAATCGAAGTGGACCGTCTCTTTTTTCCCATCTTCTCAGTGAAGCGAGATACGAGCAATTTTATATGCCTACTCAGTGATTTCTTTGTGCTTCTTTTTTGAAAGGAAGAGAAAAGTTAGAAGAAAAGAGGTCTACATTTACTGGCATGTTCTTGCCACATGTTTTTAGTTAAAATGCTATTATCTCTAAGTAGAGGGGAGCTAGAGAAAAAGAGACGGTCTACGTCGAATTCCTGTTTCGTGAGCTTTCGAATAGTGTATAGGTTTGGAAAAACTCGTGGCTTTCCAAAAATGAGGTGGAGATATTTACTATTAGCTTGCTCCACCCTGCTCGTATGAGTCGCGAGCAAGACTTTTTTGGACTGGGAATGCTTTGTGACTGGGAATGCTTTGTGCACTAACACTTTGTGTAACATCCGATAGCTAAGAACAGGAAAATCGACGTAGACCGTCTTTTATTTCTAGCTTTTCTGTGAAGCGAGATAGGAGCAGTTTAATCTAGCTACAAAATCAGCCAACTCTGGGTAATTATCTCATGCTTCATTTTTGAACAAAGGTCTTTTTCGAAGTTCTATATATGATTCGAAAGCTTGAAAAACTTAACTTTTATTTGCTATTATTCTCTCTGAAAGGAGATATGGTACGATTCTTGTCAGTAAATATGCATCCATCAGTAGCCAGTCCAGAATTTCTACTCTTGCTCAACTCTTTCTTGCGACAATGTGCATTCATTTATACAATAACTACAATCAGACATCCTTTTGATTTCGGTTATGTTTCTTTATCAACGCCACTTTGAGTGCGCAGAAGGCCTCAAGCATGCGTTTTTTTTAACAAAATGCTATTGCTTTGATGCTCTCCTGCGGTCTTGATATGTGGGGGGAAGAGCACAGCAGAGCAAAGGGCGTTTCATATCCAAAGAAAGTGCCGTTGCAACAGCTGTTTAATTCTGCCGTTATGCCTTGATTCTATCTCAACCTCAAGTGAAAGGGGCCAGCGGGTCCTAACGTGAAGGGAATCAGAGAAATCTCTCCACCTATTGCATTTATGGTGAGGATGCACACTTCACTGAAAATGCTATGCCTTTTTCTATAGGATGTAAAATAGCAGTCTGTGTCTTGTTTGGTATTACAGAATAGAATTAGAGATTGAAAAATTCAGCTTCTCTTCAACGCTCAAATATAGACAAGTTATTTCAGTCAATGATACTGGCTATGGGTGCAAAACGATGTTGCTCATCTAATGATTTGGATGAATCTGCGACACACCATTCGCTTGCAGGTTAGATTTTCCTCAAAGGAACAAAACCAAAATTGCTAATAATAAGCGCAATACTTTCTGAAGAGCTAACTCAATTTAAGATGTTCTTCGTTCTATAACAAAGTTTGGAAAAAGCAAAAAGGAGGCTGAAATCGACTTGTATGGGGATGAAGTAAGTTTTTGCAGTACACATTCTCAAAAACTTGTATTTTTGTTCTAACCTCTGTTCCAACTGAAGTCTCTAATAATAGTATACTCTGTCGTAGTTGGTATATAGCCGTGGTCTATCCAATTCGGATAAAGTTTTGTTGACGTCTATTTCAGCGCGAGCGATGGGAGAAGTCTGTGCTGCAGAAAAAGGTCAATTTGTCAAGCATAAAGATTGAGCCTTCTCCGTTCCAGTTGGTGCACTCCACCAGTCTATTCAAGGTAGGATATCACTGCGAAGATTTTTGGAACATTGCGTACAATCATCAAATATGTATCGGGTAACGGGGGAAAAACCACCTCGAGCAAACTTTGTCACCGGCTTGCATAAAGCCTTGAGTGGCAAACAACCTTCGAATTAGCTTTGACATATTGTCCCATCCATTGGCCCTGACATCTTGTTCTGGATACAGTAAGGAGATCATTTCTTTTGTTGCAAATGGTAAACGCTCGAAAATACACAGCCTAAAGGGTAGGCTAAAGGGTAAAAAACTCAGAGGAGACGGGCGAAGAAGTCGTGTTATTGAGCTTTAACTAGGTTCAGGAAGGATTCAGGAAGGTATCTCATCAAGCTCTAGGGGTATTTGAGAAATACTTTTGCCTCACATGGCTTAGGTAAATCTGTACAAAATTACAATGAATTGTTCTCTTCCCCCCTTTCAATCCAAAAATTGGTTAGTTAAAAAAGGTCTGTTATCATTGTCTCTTATTCCGAAAAGATAAGACGTTGTCCAAAAAGCAGATCATTTTCGATAACCTAGAGATAAATTTCCGGTTGAGTGTTGTTTGCAACCGTTTTCTAAACAAAACGAAGGTTATTCAAAGGGAATGAGAGAAACTGATGTAAAAAGTAGCAAGCAAAGGAAACTATTGAAAACCCGGTGGTAACTTCGAAACAATTTTTTTGCAGTATCCAAAGCTGGTTTTCGCTTGAGACCACTGAGTTGAATCGAATGAGAAAAAACTACCTAATTCTTTTATTGATGGTCTCAAAAACAACAGATTTAGACGACCGTTAAGAAGCAGATAATAGAAAAAAGCAATGCAAAAACTGAGATCCAATCTAATCATCGAAGCCTCCTTAAAATTTTTACGGCCTCTTCTCGTTTTTGTTTTCGCAGCTTGTCGTTGTGTTCATCATGCTAAACGATCCTCTCAACTATCACATTGCTTGAATGAGTACAAAACGATTCACGAATCAGTCAACATTTCCACTAGATTAATTGTGACCACATGCGAAGTAATTTAGTGGCATCTAGCGTGTCAACATCTCTTTAACTTTTTCGTTGAAATCATCATTTAGAAGTGTGCATCATCTTGCTGATAGAAATTTTGCAGGTTCATTCATTGTTCTCATTGTTGGGGCTGAAACGTGCCTATGTTACTAGAGATGGTCAACTTGTTGGCGTGATTTCGCTGCAGGATGTAAGTCAAAGAAAGGCCATGCTTATTTATCTATCAAGTAATTTCAGCTGAGAAATGCAATTGAAAGCGTTGAATCGGGCGTTTTGCCAGCCGACGGAGAAACCAATTTCCATCCAGACCAACCGCCTGATATCATAGGCGATGACACTGATTATTTGCATGTTTGTGCACATTAAATCATATTTTTAAAAAGTAAGCAATCCTGTAATTATTTCAGCCACAACTTGAAGTTCTTACGCGGCCAAATACATGTGAAAGCCTCGACGATATTCTGGCAGAATCCCCAAGACTTCCTAGGAAAATCTCCCCTCCGTCGATAAATCAAAGCACTTTAAAAGAAAATAGTATAGCTGACAAATCGATACTGAAAAGTTCAATGTCAGCGCCTTGCTTAGATCCTGGTTAGTTTACATATAGTATGACAAAAACTTCAACGGTATTGATTCCCGTGTTTTAGACGATAACCAGAACAATAAAATTTGTAACGAACCTCCAGTATTTATCCTGGAAACGGAATCAACGGACTCAAGTAGACAATCATCTACAAGCACAAATACGGGAGAGGATCCAGGAAGGTTAGCACTCAAAAAAACTCAAACCGTTGTCAGCTTGTAGGTACTTTATTATGTACTATCAGTCCTCTTATCTGCTCATTTTTATATGCTTTTGTAGTGCACATCCGTGAATTATCCGCCTTGGCCATCCGTTGATTATTCGAAACTTGAGTTTTTTTTTCAGGACTTGGAAGTGTTGTTCACTAAGGCGTAAGGCCTTGGCTTTTTTGGAGCAGAACACAAAAAATGCGATTTGAAGTTAGACCGCAGAAATATTGAGGCTTAATCTAGAAGCTGGCGCTAAAATTCTAAGTCTGAACATAAGACCAACAACATAAAAAGCGACGCGTGAAAATCTAAGCGTAATGAGAACGCTAGGGAGTCTCAAGAAATTTTTAACTACCTAAATACGCTTGCCATATCGACAAAACTTCTTATCGGATTGAATGAGTGAATTTGGTAATTGTCTTTAGACCCAAGAACTGGTGACGAGGAAGAAAGGGTTGGAAAGAGATAGCTTTTGTTTGTAATTTGGCTTTTCTAATAGAGATCAATCATTTTTTCTTCAAGTTTTTTCCAGTTTTCAGTTGTTGCTTGGAAAGTTCTGCAACGTTATCTGTATAATTATCCGCAATTCAGCGGTCCGCAACGTCGACCTCCTCAAGTACGAATCGTCATTCCTGACGAGGATAGCTTGAACACCGAAAATCTACCGCCGGAAAAGGAGCATTTCTGATCAACAATTGGCTCTTTTGCATCACTACAATGACTACTTAATCGGCTGTACTTTTTGAAAAATCTTCTAGCATTGCTGTATCAAAATCGTTTTCTTTTTTTTTCAATGACGAGGTTTTTGACCCTGCTGCATTCTATATCATCAATCGGGTATAAGATCTCTAGAACAGTTTTCCAACTTGTTGAGATATCGTTGTTTGATGCCTCACGTGATACTTGATATCTGTGATGATTACCCCACTTACTAATTGTACTGCTTTATTTGATTGTGTCAAAGTTTCAACGCTTTTCAATTTTCACTTTGGAAAAATAAACGTGTAAATAGTGAAAGCAACGATGCGTATTACGGAAAACCATTCTTGCCTCCATGAATTGCCTTTTTTGCTAGGCATCAGCTCGTAATGGAATTATTATCTGTTTCCCAGATTTGACTTGGGGTCACTGCAATCCTATATGAGAACAATTTTTCGAGGTGAATAGAAAACTCGCGCAATCAGCAAACCTCTGGCATCGCAGTATCTGCCATTGCGTCTTTGTAAGCCCTTGGGAAACTTTTCTAGTTTAAGGATTAAGAATTTTTCTTCTTGGAAACTTCTACTTCGAAAAAGGATGTCTTACTAAGGAATAGTAGGAAGCAATCTGTGTAGCCGTCTGTGTAGATAGTCGATTCTCGAGTGAAGCTCAGTTACCATCAAACTTTTTCTGTGGGAATGTATTGCACCACTGTTTTGGGATTCTTTGAGAAGGTAAAATTTTATTTTTGTGAACTCGATTTCCTACTGCCAACATGCCTAAGTGCACTTTCTCGATAGAGCGAAATCTGCAGTCGCTTTGCGCAAGATTTTTACGGCGCATAAAAAAGCAGCAACCGCTAAAGTTTATTGGAAGAGCCTTGAAAGCAAATGGAAATCCTGCTTCGTCGTGCATTTTGTAACATAAGTCTCCGGCAAACAAACGCATTTTTAAAAAATTCGCGTTTAAATACACAATGAGAGGAGAAGTGAGAAGGTAAAGGAAAAATTTGAAGGCAAGGTACCTTGCTTTGCTTTTTCAAAAAGAAAAGTATAAAAAATGAACCAAAAGAGCTTTGACACGATATCAAAAGTCTATTAAAGCGATTCACCCTTTGAAATCAGCACTGTAATAAAAAGATGTGAAAAACATGCAGTAGCTCTATTTCAACCTCCTGTTAAACTAAAATGTCTTGAATAATCCATTTTCGATTTTATTTTTGTCGCATGACGTCAAAGCACCATGGCTAGAGCAGCTTCTCTAGAGACGCCAAAGCTCATAGACAAGGTTGGCGAGCTATGACGTAGACCAAAGGCTCGCAATTAGTAGTCACTTCATTTGTGTGATATGCGTCGGCCTCGGTGTTCTTTCAAGTGCTCACTCCGTTTGAAACAATGCCTGAATAATTAATCGTTCACCTGGCTGGTTCCCTTAGCAATATCGCTATATATGCGGCGTGAGACGTGCTCCCACCAGCTACTCGCTTCTACTCCGAGAATTACGTGAGATCAAAAGAAGGAAAGGAGTGACAGAAGGCAAGGCGGCGCCCGTCGAACGTTGTCCGCCGTCCTACCAGCATTGCCAGGAGACCAGAAGCACGTCGAAGACTAGTGTGATATATGCGTCCACTGGTGTCGCCAATGGGATCCGGTGCTGGCGCAAAACAGGCTCCTCCCGAGGAGCCTAAAGCCGCCGCCGACGCCGCGTCACCAGCGGCTGAGGCGCCAACTGTCGACTCGCGTTTGCCATATCCGAATTTTCGCGAATTGTTTACGCTGAAGAACTACTGGAAAACGGTGCGACGTAACGACAAGGAGTGTGGAAAGATCATGTTAGCCAAGTAAGTGTATTCTTAGAACTTTTCCATCCAAATAACTTAAGAATAATGATGTTCATTTTATGAGTGTAAGGAAGTGATTTATCGAAATTGCAGCTTTTGTATGCAAACGTGAATTTACAAATGCAGTGAGAATCGACTATCACGTGCGGTAGTCTCTTTGGTTACTCGTTGGCTTCTGAGGCACACTTTTATTCAAAGTCCCACAGTTATTCAAGAACAACATTGATTAGCTGCAAATCAGCAAAAACTCAATCAATTTTTTTAATTTTAAGTCGAAAAGAGAAACCATGTTTATGAACATTTTAAACTAACAAGCATTTACTGTCCTTTCAAGTTTACTGCTTTCAACTGCTTTAAGGTTAGTAACACCGAAGCCTTCTTTTCACCGTTTTTTCCGCTTTGAGATCAAGTTTTGGCAAAATAGGCTGTAATGGCTAATTTGCACCTTTCTTCTCTTTCGATCCCTTTCAGAAAGTCCTTGATTCATGACTGCCTTAGTAAACAAATTATAGACTTCAAATGCTATGCAAATTGAGGTTTGAGGAATGCGAAAAAACGCAACTTAAATCTTAATAACAATTCACGAGTCTGATGATCATGACATTCTTTTCCATCCGATAGCGAGGCCTTCTTTGGTTCTTAACCTGTTCTATGGTATCATGACTACACAAAATTCTCCCGCGTTAGACCTTTTCTTTTCATTCCAAAGCGAAACTCAAAGAATTTTTCCTGTCTGATAACGCATGCGGCCATAAGCGCTCATTAGCGTCGTTTCATCATTGTTATCGTCATTCATTCGTAAATTGTTGCTTATACTTTCACTCAAGCCGTCATCATCCGCGTGCTTTCCGTAAACTTCCTGTTGCATATGAGGAGCAAAAATCTTGGCCAAAAATCTTGGAAGAGCTCTAGGATAGTAAGTGGAAGGGCAGAATTGTTCTCGTGCCTACGTTGATGACGTTTTCCATTAGCATCACCAAGGAAACGTATATTCGAATTTGGTAGTAATGCACGCATTGTAGTCAAGAGGTACGAACACCACACACGCAATGCAATTGTTGACGTTACAAAGCATTTTCTTCCCGAGAATGTGGCACGAAAATCGAGTGAAAGGTTCATGCGGCTTGGCTCGATGAGAAAAATTGCTCAGGAGACTGTATTTAGCACAAGTTTCTGTGCCCAGTATTTGTGACGCTTTTACGAACATTACAACTAACGTCGAAAAAAATTGAAAGAAATTGATTATTCCATATTCACGAGTACATGACGCATTTTTTGATTTTCAAGCGAGCGGCTCGGACACGCCATTGTGTCTCGCGAAATCGCTCGCAGCAAAATAGAGTTTCCTTTGGCCGCAAAACAGGTGCGTCTTGTGCTCGTGGTACAGAGCGATAATAAGTGTAGCAGCAGTAAACTGGTAGCAGTAAACAATCATAGCCAGTAAAAGCTGATCAAATTGTCTACAAGAATCTTACCGTTTTTTCTTGAAAAAAGCTTTCGAGTGCAGTTCACTTGTAAGAGACAATAATGAGGATTGGGACTTGAAAGGAATACTGCCTCAGCTTCCCTTTGCAAAGCGGCTGAAAAACAGTCATGGCTTTTCTAAATCACAAGCTTATGTCCAAAAATGATAAGCCTTAAGCTGATTATGGTTGTTGAATGGTTAAGCTACGTGGAAAATGTGGTTAGATAATTCCTCTCCTTACATGTTTTTTCCATCAATCACACAATCATACAAATTATATCGGAAGGCGCATCTGTTTTCATTTTTTTTAGGAATTCAATCCGGAAAACGCTAATCAGAAATAGTACAGCACTTATTATACTTTGTATCAATCTATATTCCAGTTTCATTTTTATGGAGGGTGTGGGGAAAGGAAATTGCAGAGTTTCTTTTGTCACCAAATAAGGACACGGATTTCTCAAATTTGGCAAATCAGGATTTTCCAGTGACAGTGTGGCATAAGCTGTTTTTTTTCTTAAGAAAATTTTTAGCAAAGGCTACTGATCTTCAAAATTTGCAAAAATCATTTCACAAACTTAGGGGAAAGCAAATTTTTAGTGACTATCATAGATGAATTTTTTAATTGCTCCACCTTCTTATGTCATACAAGCTATAACTTTTATTCGCCTATCCATTTCAAGGAGTGAAAGTCACGCACTTTGTGACAGATTTTAGAAGACAAGTCAGTCATGAGCGTTGTAGATAACGATCAACATTTCGATATTTTCTAGCCAGAACGTAAAATTACTGTAGTGCACAATGCTCTCGGGAAGTAAAAGGCTGGTCCTGACTTGAAAGTTTCTCGAAAAACATACAAACTAATAAAATAAAAAAATGCAATGTGTGTCGCGTGCGGCTCTCCGATGCGAGCAGCTCCTCGGAAAATACGCGCTAATGTTCATTTGATCCGCTTGACCACTGCATTCAGTTTGCTATTGGTAAATCAGTCAACCGGACACTAGCTAAGCGAATATCCACTCAACACTTTTACTTGTTAGTTTTATGATTTGAGCAGTAGCGAAATGGATGAAATGAGGAGGGGTACATTAACCGCGCTGATAGTGGCATTTGTCTCCTTGATTCACATCTCTATTAAATTGTTATTATATTATGCTTGGCCTTGTTTCCAGCGGCTCGCGCATAAGAGTCTTCGTATAAAGCTGTTAAGCATAGCGATGTTTTCGGGTTGTTCGCGCTATGGCGCGAAAGAGCCCTGAATTTGTAGATGTGTATGTCACAAGTGCTTAGATTTTTTGCAGCCGGCCCTGAAAGACGAGCACAGTATATGATTGTATAGGTTGGTATCAATCATCGGCAGCGCGGGACGATGCTGTTCGTCTCGTTGTGGTTTCATTATGGTCATTCTCGTTGATCTTACGTAGTTAGAGCAAACTTATCCAAATTAGTCGCGCGTTTTTATGTGACTTATTTGTTGGGGCCGCGCAAAGTGGACGCGCCGGCACGTCCGTAGTGGACGCAAAAGACCTTAGGTTGCGGGATGAGCAGTGTTAGGCATTCTACAGTCTTAAATTCGTAGGTGTGTATGTCACAAGTGATTGGGGTTTTTGCAGCCGGCCCTGAAAGAGGCTAGCAAATCATTGTGTAGGTCGGTTTTTAAAACACAGCTAAGCTGCTGAGCCCACCGAGCCGCGACAAAGTAGCTCTGGATATGAGAATCTGAGTATGCAATAACTGTCATAACTTACTGTTTATGTACCTAATATTCATAAGTATATTGCACACAATCGGCAATTTTTTACCCCATATTGTTACAAGCGCGATTGAAGTGGGAAAACTCATGTATTTTTTCCATCTGCAAGCTAATCCTCATTACTACTGAGTTTTTATTGTAAAAAAAGCACAAGTTTTTTCAAAGCATTGATAAGCTGCATCTGTTGAGAGCGAGAAATTCCACTTTAAAAGGGGAAGAACAGAACTTTTTTTTATAATTTTGAGTGTTTGTGAAACCCTAATGCAATTTTATTTTGGCTTTTTGAGCAGTAAAGCCTTTTTTCAGATATCTGAACCAGCACCCGGAAAGCGCTGGTCTCTATCCAAAGCTGAAAAACATCGATGGAGCGACTGTTAATGCATCATGTAACAATCCAGGATTCGAAACAGTTGCCGCTAATTACTTACAGGTGAGCTTTGAAAGGTTAAACGTCCTTTTTGCACTTTTTAGAAAGTTTGACTAACTTATTACATTCACTGTCCATAGAGTGCATTTCTATGTGAAAATCAAATGAGCTCCCACAGTGAAATTAGAACTCGATAATAAGTACTGTGATAAGTATTGTGACGTGAAAGACTTTTCCTTCAGGTGTTTGACGATGTGATAACAGCGGTTGAAGAGAAACCCGGAGACGTACAGCCGGCTTGTGATCGGTTGGTAGCTGTCGGAAAAATGCACCGAACTAAGGTTAGCTGAAACCCAAGGTCAAAAAAATAAAGAGAGTTAATAGAGAAAAATGATATTACTTTCTTTTATCCGACTCCCAAGAAGAGTAATAAAAACCTGTTCACATTCGGCGTCCTCGGGCGAACCTAAATACCTGAATTTCTTATGTGGACGTTAATCAATTGGAGGCTTAATATAGCCATTGCTCGAGCTGCAGCTCATATGACTTATTCCTGGTCAGGACATTCCTTTCTGTACTCTCACCCAATACCGTACTCGAGTGCGTCGACTGGTCCGCATAAAGATACGGTATCAGGTTCGAAAGTAACTACGCGTACGCATCCACCCCTTGTACATCAACTTACTTGAGACCTCGTTTTTTCACCTTTTCTCATCCCCGCCCCCTCTAACTCTCAACTCGCAAAGATGTAACATAAAGATAACTATATGCAAAGAAAGATTTCCAAATTCTTGCTCATGTCCGTTTTTATAGGTATCCGACATGCAAAACAGTGCTTTTCAAGATATGGAGGAACCATTTCTCGATATGGTCAAGGGTGCGCTACAAGATCGCTTCAACGAAAAAGCCGAGGGACTCTTCCGAAAATTCTTTCAGTTTTGCTTAAAATATTTACTGGAGGGCTTCAATGGCTGAGTCACCAAATCCTCTGTTAGGCAAAGTTTGGAAATTCCCCAATCGGATTAAGCAAATATAAATAGCTCAATTGGCATTCAGGCCTTTTTTATTTATGTGTACAAAATTATACCGTATCGTAAATGCTTTTTCAACTGTCGTTTTCGCATCTTGCGATCAAATAAACGTAAAAAGATTATCGCAAATCCACTCAGCCGTATTATAACCTGTTAGCGTTTTGTCCGAGTTTTTCCCAACAAATTAGGGCTGAATGACCCATGGTTTTCCAAAGAAAAAAACCCTTTTTTGCTCCTTTCCTGCTGAAAAACACAGACAAACGATGATCAAAGAATCAGATCCAAAAGTAACTTCAGTTACCCTCTCAAAGTGAAGTAAATCCACGCCTCCGCTTTACAATTGACTACTATTCTTTTTAACGACTCATTTTTATCCCAGCATACAATTTGTAACAACGATGTTGATATAAAATTATCTTCCAAGACTACGAGTGAGGACTTCCGTAATTTACCAGAAGTTCGTGCTCGACTGTCGATAAACATAATGATTCGAATTGTGATATAATTTTTGAGTTGTCGACAAAGGGTATACTCATAGCGCAGCTGCAGCGCGTACTGGTTGTTCGGTCTCTATTTCTCGATCTGGTAAGGCTGAGGAAGCCTCGATGAAGGCGGACGGACCGCCAAACCGTTGGCTTGTCGTGTAGTAAATTCTTGCTACATCTCGGTTGACAGCTTAAAAACTGTATTACAATTCGTGCCGGATGTTCATTTATGTTATTAGGTGTCGATAGAATTTTTGATGTCTATTTTTTATGGTCCGCTTTGCAGTCTTGTCCACTCACTGAAGTATCACTTTGATGTAATGCATGATATATGTTTAGTTGATTATAAGAACCACTCATAATGACGAAGGCTCATGACACGTTTTTCGGTGAAGATGTAAGTTTATTACTAATAGGGTGTCTGACAATTTTTCACCGTTTTTACTACAAACGTCATCTTCTTGTGTCTTTATTTCAAGTGATTTGGTTTGAGTAATCATTCGACAAGGCAAAGCAAGCACTACAAAATGGCTTTGGAGAGCCCGCCCAAATCGTATTCCACGTGAAGGTTTGAGCTGAAATCTGATAGCAGTTGAAAACGAGCTTTACCGTCAGGAATCGTCTCCGCCCCCAAAAATCTCGAAAATTCCCTATTTATCTTAGCATATGCTTGACGTATCGATCATTCCACTTACAATTTTCGTATTTTTCCATGGCCAGAAACTAAAGAAAAGGAATAGAATAAAGTGTCAAGCTCCGCCCCTAAACGTCCTAAGCTCCTCCCACGCACGCGATCGTATAGCTCAGACATACATAAGGCTCCCGCCAGAGTGCCGAAGTTATGCCAGCGCTACGCCAGCGTTTCGATCGATACACGTGTATTTCGTTGGGGCGGGGCTAGCTCAGCAGGTAGATGTCCCCAACGAAATACACGTGTATCGATCGAAATGCTGGCGTAGCGCTGGCATAACTTCGGCACTTTGGCGGGAGCCTAAGTACGACCATGTATTTGTACCTTACAGGGGAAGGATATTTGGATGCCGTAGCCATTCATAATGATTTGTATACCAAAAAATGTGCTTTTGAATGCTGGTTCGTAAACTGTCTTTCATATCTGCGAAACGATAATATGAATGGAGTTATGATTTTTTCATTAAAAAAAATTGCGTTCCTGCGGAGGGTCAAAATCATCAATAAAAAAATTTTCTCTCCTTTCCAAATGCTGAGTATGATTCAGATAGTTCTAAATAAATATTACTACGTCTAAAATTTTCTTTAGTAGCATCAAACGGTAGGCTAGATCAAATCTGGTGATTTTTACTATCCAAAAGTAGGCTAAATTTTCAAGGAAAAAAGTTCATAACTTTCTTCAAAAGATCGTTTCGCAGATTTCGAGCACAGATTCAGAATCTGCATTCGAAGGCGCATTTTTTGGTATACAAATCATTAGGAATGGCCGCGGCATCCAACTATCCTTCCCTTGTTAGTAAGCGCCCCGGTTCTCGAGAAATGTTGATGTTTAGGGTAAAAACGGCAAAAAATTGTGAGACACCCTAATATTTATGAGTAGATTTACGATAATTGCTCATTTTACCCGCAGAATAAATACTGGCAATGAAAGCAAATCTTTTTCTTGAAATCTTCATGCAAAGTTTGCTTTTTCTTTAAGAATAGTCGTGATGGAAACGACAAACGACTCTGATCTTTGTTACTATATGATGGTTAACACTATGACGCATGCAAAGCATAGCTTTTTCAACGCTGATTATGATGAGTAGCGCAATGTTTATTCGATAATTACTGATGATGTTTGCTCGCGTTTTTCAATGTCAAGAAGGGAGTGATTGGGAAGTTTTGCACAAACTTAAGTTCGGACACAATTCTTCAGCAGACTCTCCATCGAGCTGTTGCCCAAATTTGGTTTATAAAGTGAAGTTCATTTATGAAATTGACGACAGATTTGACTGCGGTTTTGCGCTCGCGGGAGCACCCTCATACAAAAGGCATCATCTCAAGGCTCAGCTATCATACCTAAGCAGAAATAGGAGTCGATTAGAAGTTAAAACAAGATAACGGGGTCTTCCGAAGGTGCGTGCGTGTCGCGCACGGTTGCGCCATCGTCACGATTTTTCGAATGCCCTATACACATTACAGCGATATGCAATCCCAGACCGCTTGTAAATGTCCCATCCTGATGCCGTTAGCTACAAGTGATCCTTTAATGAAACAGTGTGAGTATTTATTCTATAAATTACCACAAAGATGCAAAAAGTTTTCAACAATTGTTTATGTTCGGTTTTGACATTATCCGATTTCGTGACTAACAAGGGAGGTCAGGTAACTTAGATTCCCGTTTTGAGATGAGATACATATATTTGGAATCAGTTTCAAACGCCGATTTCAATATGCTAACTGCAGCACGTTACTCTGCAGCGAGTTGTGAGCTTTCTTTGTGCGAAATAGGCATACTCAATATGGGAAGGCGGCCTGGAGATGGTCCACTTAAAGGCAGTGTCTCACCAAAGTTGAGATCGCGCGGATCTTCACATATTCTAGTATAGGGACCTTTAAATAGGCCGTTGCAACAAGTCCCACTCAATTTGACCCCCTCCACGCTGAGAAAAATTTGCTCAAAGTGGTACGCGGAGAGCCAGTTGGTACGCGCGGACGTCTCCTTCGGTCTCCCCCCTTACGCGTTCGAACATGTCCCTCCACTTGGCATCCACCTCCCCTCTGTTGCTGCCACTGTGGCTGAGGCTGGAGTTGGCAGGTACAACTCGTCCACGTTGCTTCCGCGGGCCCTCCAGAAAACGGGGTTTTTGGGAACTTCGTGCGATTTTAAGCCCATACAGTGCTAGAAAGGGTCCGACAGGCTTGCAAAATGCAAAAATCTCGACAACTAAATTTTGGTGAGACACTGCCTTTAAAGGCAGCGTCCAGGCAAGTCTGCTATGGGGATTTTACGTGGAAAGTCTTTTGGGGCTCTAACTAAGCCACTGCCCAACCGGCAGCTCAGGTAGTGCCCTAACGGCTGAAATATTCCCCTCGAAACTGGACCCCGCGACCGTGTTTCGCATGGATTCATGGCGCAAAGCGTGGATCCTGGCGCGAAACTGCCATGAATCCATGCGAGTACGTTCGCGGGGGCCAGTTTCGAGGGGAGTATCTCAGCCATTAGAGCACTACATGAGCTGCCGCTTGGGCAGTGCCTTAGTTAGGGCCCCAAAAGTACTTTCCACGTAAAAGCCCCATAGGTCCAGATCTGCCTGGACGCTGCCTTCAAGAAGGATGAATACTACTGAATACTGAAGTAATATGCTGAATACTGAATCAATATCAGATTGACCCTTCTAACATTGACAAAAACTTAGCGCAGTAAATTAATACTTAGATAATGATACGGCATTGACAAGATGTTAAAGAACACGCAGATTCTGCATGCTCGCATTGCAGATGTTGTGTTCGCTTCGCCCAATGGCTCCCGCTGTATTGAATATGGTGCTTGCGTGTGCTTCAGCTGCTCAATTAAATATCAAAGCTATTTCGTGGCCAGAGCTCAAACTACCAAATCTAATACAGTAAGATCCATTAAGGATGTGAAAAATTTGATCGACGTGTTGTACAAGCGCTCACGGTGGAATTTCGATGATATTTGCGATCTTTACATTTTAAGCAAAATTCATGAGGACGTGTTTTCATAGGCTCGTAACTCGGCGATTTTTATAGACTGGAGCCTGATTCAACCAACGTTCGATAGCACAGTTTCTCGTAATTTTGACTTAGAAAAGCAAGCAAGCAACTTTTCTGAAAGATACGCGAGGGGTACGGGCAAAGTTACGCACTTTCGTGATGCAGTTACAGTCACCTCACCGTATCTCTCCAAAACGAACCTGTAATCCCCAAAGCTCAATCACTATAAGCGAAGTTCCCTTACAATTCAAGAGCCTCAACATTTTGGCCAAAATCCATCGGCGGGCTGCAGAGCGTAAGGAGAAAAAATGAAATGCCCAAACATGTCGGAAAACTTGCTTATAGAGGTCATCCGACCTGCTGATTTCAAAAACTCACATCTGCTTAGCAAGATAGCTTTGTATTCTAGGGCTATGGCGAGTAGAATTTGGGACGACAAGATTTTTCCACAATACCAGCCGTTCTAATTCCTTTGAAAAGAAATCTGCGGCTACTATTTAGCAGATCATAATCTACAAAAAAAGTACTATCGAAAGGTCCTTGCTGGAATTTACTCGGGTCAATGCTCGCTGCTTTACACCATCGCGAAAAGACGTCCGCAGAAAGATTCAAGAATACTGATTTCGAAATATCAAGAACACGGTATATAAAAAGATTCGCCTTGATGAGCTGAGCACGGCGCTGTTTTCGGATTCAAAATATGCTTATTCCGAAGGAAGTCACGGCGAGTAGAATTAAAACGCGTGATTTTTCCAGAATTCACCAACGCTCTTATTCCTTTGGAAAGAAGTCCGTGC